TAGCTCTGGTTTTGGTAATCCAGACTCGCTGACCAGCTTTTAGCTCTGGTTTTGGTAATCCAGACTCGCTGACCTGCTTTTACCTCTGGTTTTGGTAACCCAGACTCGCTGACCAGCTTTTAGCTTTGGTTTTGGTAATCCAGACTTGCTGACCAGCTTTTAGCTCTGGTTTTGGTAATCCAGACTCGCTGACTAGCTTTTAGCTCTGGTTTTGGTAATCCAGACTCGGTTTGGCGGTTGAAGACCCATGGTGCAGCGGTGTGACCCGGCAAGCCAGTAAGGCCCCGTATGGGTCTGTGTTCTTCAAGAGGCTTTCAGAGCCTCCTTTTCAACTTGGGCATAACGCTGCTCCATATCAGATGGACTCCGGGAAACGCAGGCGACTGGACGCCCCTCCATGTTATCCTGTCTCTGCGTAAGGACAGCCCCGAGGCCAAAGGATGATGCATCCGCAGACACCTCTGCTTTGGCTTGCGGCCTGTATTGAACCGACGCTCTTGGTGATGCCAGCTCATTCCTGAGTCTGTCCATAGCCGCCTGCTGCATATGACCCCAGTCATTGTCCTTCACCAGCAGACCTCTGAGTGCTTTGGTAGAATCTGCAAACTGAGGGATACATTTTGGTACATATGTGACCATCCCCGCTAAACGTCTGACATCTGCAGTGTTCTGTGGGATAGGTATGTCTGTGATGGCTCTGATTTCCTCAGGGTCAGGCTCAGTGGCCGCTGCACTGACTTTATGTCCCACAAACAAAACCTCAGCCTTGCAAAGGTGCACTTTTCATTTAGTGTTAGTCCCGCCTCCTGAAGTCGTGTCAAAACAGCTATGAGCCGCTCATCATGTTCTGCCCCATTCTCTCCGCACACGAGGACATCATCTGCGTGGCATATAACACCTTCTAGCCCGGCTAAGAGCTGGAACATGCGTCTTTGAAAATGCTCCGGCCCTGAGCTGATCCCAAAAGGTAAGACATTGAAACATAGACGGCCAAAGGGAGTGATAAACGTTGTGAGCTCCCCACTCTCTTGTGCTAAGGGTATCTGCCAAAACCCACTACCTGCATCCAGCTTTGTAAAAACCTGTCAGCCATTCAGCCGTGCTGATGACTGGTCCACTGAGGGCAATACAATACATGCCTTTCTCTGCACACACCCTCATTGAGTTTGCGTGAGGTCAACGCAAATTCTAATTTTAGCACTGGGTTTTGGGACCACTACTATCCCTGCACACCACTCACTGGGTTTCTCTATCTTTGAGATGACCCCCATTTCTTCCATTCATTTCAGATCTTCTTTTACGTTTTCAGTTAAGGGGATTGGCTCGCTGTGAGGAGTAGTCAGAGCATAGGGGACAGCATTCTCTTTCAGGCGGATGTGATAATTACCATCAAGCCTCCCTAATCCAGTAAACACCTCTGGAAATTTATTTTTGAAGATCTCCCCTGGGTCTTCTTTCTCACCCAGTGTGCTAAGTTCCTCCATTCGCTGAACAAGGTGTAATGCAGTGAGCACTGGTAAGCCCAGCAGTGGTCTGGCCAGGTTATCAATGACAAATACTGGCTGAGTGGAATTTTTATCCTTCCTTTCAAGTCTGCTCCGAATCTTTCCTACAACAGGCAACCTGTTGTTACTGGGGCCATAGTCTTTTTGGGGTGTGCAGTGGGGGCCGTCTCTGCTGTAACTGTACAGTGTGGTAGGAATAGCTGTCAGTGCTGCCCCTGTATCCATCTTAAAAGGCAGCACTTCCCCATTCATTCTGATATCTGAGTACCAGCCAGTGCTGTCTGACTTCCCCTCTTCCAGGAAAAGGCCGCCCTGAAAGACTTCCTCTTCCTCTGCCATCTCATGCACAGGCTGCTTAGACCTGCAGACAGCAGCAAAGTGTCTTCATCTGCAACATTTCCTGCATTCAGCTTCTTTGGCAGGACAGTCTTTCCGATTGTGTGACGGTGATCTCCCGCAATTACGGAACACAGACGATGTTCCAGTGTTCGGTCTAGGTCTTTGTGGTGTTATCTCATTTTATTTGAGTAAATTCTACAGCTTATTTTTTCATGTACTGAATTACA